TTTAAGATTTCTTTTTAGATTTGATTAAAGATTGATTAACATTGTTAAGATTTAATTAAAATTTGTTTAAGATTCTATTAGGATTGTAAGGACTTTCTTCTTGCAAATTTTATTTTATCCTTTGTAGCCAAGTGTCTGGCGAATTCTCAAGCAAACTTTACAAAATATAACAACATATAAGAAGTTGAATAAGTTGTTGGAAGGATTTGGAAGCTTAATATATTTGCAAAAGCTATACATGGAATAATGCAAAGCTTTGAAAGAGTTTCTAATGAATTTCAAAATTTATTTTATTAAAAGAATTATTATTTCAAAAATACATGAACTTAAAGAAGTTGTTGGAAAGCTTGACATATAAAAATGTAAGGATTTGGAAGAATTTCTAAGTCGACTTGAAAATCTAGCTTTATTAGAAGAATTGAATTTCTTAACTTACTGGAAGTTGAAGAAGTTGTCCAAAGAATTTGGAAGCTTGATATATTTGAAGCAGTAGATGATGTGAAAATGCGAGATTTTAGGAGAGCTTCCAAATGGATTAGAAAATTTAATTTTATTAAAAGAATTGAATTTTTTTAATGAGTAAGAAGTTGAATAAGTTTCTAAAAGAATTTTGAAGCTTGACATGTATGAAGAAGATAAATATGTAGGAATCTAAGGCTTTAAAAGAGTTTCTAAATAGATTAGAAAATCTTATTTTATAAGAAGAATTAGATCTTTTAAAATTTAGGAAATTGAAGAAATTAAGTGTAAAGTCTAAAAGCTTGACATGTTATAAGACAATATTTATGTTTAAATGTGAATATTTAGAAGAGTTTCTATAGAGATTAGATAATTTAGTTAAATTGAAAGAATAAAATTTATTGGAATATAATAAATTAGAGAAGTAATCTAAATTATTTAGCAGATTGAGAAGTTTAAATAAGTAAAATTTTGAAAGATTTTTAGTAAAATTAATTAATCTAATTATATTAAAATAAATATAATTCTAATTAAATAAGAAATTCAATAAGTTGGAATAAAGATTTAAAAGCTTTGTATTTATAAAAAGACTAAATATGTACAAATATGAGAATTTAAAGAAATTTTTAAATAAAATAAAAAATAGTTATATTAAAAGAATTGAATTATTTAAAATAAAATAAAAAAATTACAAAATAATTTAAAAACTTGATATTTTCTGGAAGCTAAATATTAGAAAATTCGAAGATTTAGAAGAAATTCTAAAGAGATTAAAAAAATTGCTTGTATTAAAACAATTGTACTTTTATAAGTGCATAAATTTCAAAAAAACACTTATAGAAATATTTAATATTTTTACATATTTGGAGAATCTAAACATGTCAAAATATAAGAATTTAAAAAATACATATTATTAAAATATATAGATATATTAAATTAATTAAATATTATAGAAGATAAAAAAAAAAATAAATCACTTAAGAAATTTAGATCCTTGACTTATTCAGAAGAAAAATTTATATAAATATTTGAGAATTTTAGAAAAAATCCAAAAATATTTAGATATTTCTCAAAAAGAATTTAAATTTAAAAGTATAAGAATTTTAAATTATATTTAAAATTTTTGAAAGATTAATTTTTTTTTGAAGAATCAAAAGAAATGATAATATAAGATTTTAAAATAAATTATAAATAAGTTTAAAAATTTGATTATAGATTTTAAATTCTATTTTTTAAAATATAAAACTTAAAGAAGGGAATTAAAAAATTAAAATTTTGAGTATATGCTCAATTCTTTTATATCTTATATTTTTTTAATTTTTACTTTACTTTTTTTTTCTTCACCCTCTCATTCCTCCATTCTTCTCTCATTTCTAGAATCTAAGATTCTAATAAAATCATTTATTTACTTTATATATACTAATTTGAAAATTATAACCACTATCACATTGGCTTTTGGAGTTTTAAGACAAATTTATGATTTAGGATTTTAATATTTAGAATTTAATATTTAGAGTTTAGAATTACATAAATGTTTGTAGATTTTTTACTTCCTTATTTTTAAATTTTAACTTGACATATTTCTCTATTTTTATTGTTTTCCATTCCAATGATTAATATAACTTGCTTTAAAAGTTCTTAGTTTGCAAGATGGATGTGCCTAATTTTTTGATGATTTTATTTTTTGATTTTAACTTAATCTACCTACTACCACAATTTGCCACCTATTATGCATTGCATACTAAAATCGAATTTTTTAAACTATTGATATTATACTAAAAGCTAAATCTATCAACTTAAAACTTTTAATTATTTATTTCAACCAAACATCTAATGCTTCTGATAAAAAATATAAGTTTGGAAAGAATAGATATGAAAGCAACAAAAAAAATTGTATTTGAAACTATGAGTATTAGAAGATTTATCTTGCAAAAATAACACATCTATTATTTTTTGTTATAATTAAAAGTACCGCATTGTCTACATTATTGCATTCTCTTTGTTACATGCTTAATGGCAAGCATATTATAATTGATTAGTAAGCATGTTAGCATGTTGTTGGCACCAATGAGCTAATATTTTTGCTTTAATAGAAGTTATTATGTGAGAGTTTTCATTTGGCTTGTTTGAAGTTGTGTAATTTATACACATGCAACAATTTGTTATAAAAAAAAGCCAATAGAGATATTAATGTTTAAACTAACAAAGATCACAATTAAATTTTTGAATGTTACTAAATATATATTATTATGTACCACCAATTGTACAACGATATCATGTAGATGTTAATATAAATAAGTAGTTCTATACAAGATGGATATACTTTAAAAAATATTAATTGTATGGGCACTCAGTAAATCCATTGTTTATTTGAAGGTATTAGTGCTTATCACAAGTGGCATGTTAACAGCTACTAATTACCTTTAAGCATCTAATAATTTCAATAAATAATACAACACACATCCAATAACCTTAACAAAAAATGGTCTATATAGTTTATGCTATATAATTATATGTTTTCTACATATAATTGTAGTAAACTCAATATCTTGATGGATAAGTTTGCATATAATATTTCCTTGTACAACCTCCAAATTACTAATGGAGACTTCAAAGAAGCATTTGAGTATTAAATATATTTTTTTGTAAGATATTTTGATGTTTTTAAGGTAGAAGTAGTTTTAGTTCTATATGCTTAAAAACTTGTATTTTAAAAAAAAAAAAAAAAAAAAAAAAAAACCCAAGATTGCTCCAAATATTCAAGTATTTTTTTTAAAATATTTAAAATTTGAATAAATTTCTTAATATAATTTATCAAATTACTTGAACATGTCTCAAAGACATGAATCACAAAACAGCCAAAGAGTTAATATATCCTTATGTTACTAAAAAAGAATAAATATTTACTTAAAAATAGTTAAAATATTAAAACTATAATGGCTATTGCCAAAGAAGACTAGAAACTCTTGAAATAAGGCTAAAAACAAGAAAGACATTGATAAGAGTGAGAAAGGCTTTACTCTTGCCTCCATATACTATCTAACTAAAAAGTTATACAGCAACATTCTGTAGGTCATTCAACACATGTCTAATTTGTAATACATTACCTAAGTAACTATTATAGTAAATATGTATGTTCATAACAGTTAGCGATATTAAACTCCATAAGGAAAAAAAAAAAAAAAAAAAAAAAAAAAAAAACGTTGCATAAAAGTTAGTAAAGAGAATGATGGATTGGTCATATATAATAGAAGTATATGACATTCCATGCTACTTAATTAATGCATAATTCCTTACAATTTGGTACAATACTCTTAAATGTTTATTTTGTCACTTTTCTTATTTTTTCTTATCATACATAATCCATATACTATTATCTTCACAAATGGCAACAAGAATAATTGAAAGTTGTGGGTTGGTACAATTAAGTTTTGGTACAATGTTGGTCATTGAAAACCATGCATTGTGGTGTGCAATGCATGATGGATGGCAGATTGTAGTGGCAATAGCAAAAATTATGGTCACATTAATAATACCATATATATATATATATATATATATATAATTTTTAATAATATTAAAATTATTATTAATAAAAAAATTAATTAAAAATTAAAAATGAAGTTGTTTATATAATAACAACATCAAAAAAGAGCATAAAGAAATGACAATTCTGTAAAATCCATTAAAAGATTGGTCAATCCTTCCTGATTGTGAATTAACTGATCTATTTTATAATATCTCTATTAACAAATATCTCTATTGTCAAGACAGCAAGAAAATATGTTCTCTACCAAAAAGTTGCTAATTATGGTTCATCAAAATTTATTCTGAAAGGTTGCATAAACTCCATAAATAGGCTTTCTTTAGAAAAACTATTTAACTTTTCATTAAGGGCAAGAAAATCAAAACATATCACTTAAACCGGTAAGATAAATAAAACATAAAAAGTTAAATGCATGTGTTCAATAACTTACTGTAACATTTAATCGTTCTACAAAAATACGTTAATTATACATTAGTTGCTTTCAACATATGATTTGCAAAGGAAAGGTACTCAATGCAGAAATATGTTTATAAATATATATATATATATATATATTCTACTCTTTTAACAATCATCTAATGTAATAATCTATTTGAAAGTTAAGTTATAATGAATATACCAGCTTCACATCCAGTGTCTGCTTCCCACAACCTATTCCCGTGTGAATGCAATACGATTCCGCCAATGGGCTTCGCTGGTCCCCGATCTAGAACATGTGAGCACATGCTTCCAGATCGCATCTTACTCAGCTACAGTAAATAAATATGTGACAGGTTCAAATTTAAAGGACGGTGTGGAGCTTCGATTCGCTGCTGCCAAAAGCAACACCAATCAGTATCGCCTCGTCGCGGATATCATCCATCCATTCAGACGGCCATACATACATCCACCCTCATTCGTAGGCGATTCGAACTAGACTTCATTTTTTTAGCCGCTTTCGAGGGACGCTGACCCCGGCACCGCCTCATGTCCATCGTCAGCTTACGATGGCGGATTCCGAACAGATTCGAGAATGCATCGGCTGAGATCGAAGTTGGAGCCGCTAAATTACACCAGCAGTGCTGTAACGACTCAGGTTACAGTATTAGGAAGGAGCCGGAGTCTAATTTAGCCGTGTAGAGGAATTGTGGTAGTGCTTCCCGTGGTCTGATCTCTTCAGCCAAGCGATTGGAAAAGTTACCAATGACGTGAGCAATGCGCGAAAAGTTTGCATGGGAGGAACGTCGCCGAGAGTTTCATGCTGTTGATAGCTGCCACTGATCGTCCGCACATCTGGAATCTTTGAAGGGCGTGCTGAGGCACATGGCCTTGTGCTCTGAACGCTTGGCAGCCGAGGGATGTTTTGAAGCAACACTCAGCATTCTCCTCTTATTGAGGGGGAGCTATTCCGGGCTGGTTCTGCTCCCTCTATCGTTATTCTTCATTTCATTATTAGATTTCCTTTCAGTTATCTAGGATTTCTCTTAGTCATTGTGAAATTTTTAATTAAATAACATCAACTAAAGAAAACCTACCACGTCTATAATTGGAGTCTATTACACAATGATTTATATATAAAAATATTAAAGATAAAGCAAACATAAAAGCCTCCAAAAGAATGAATAGTTCAGGAAAAATAGTGAACCCCTCAAGTAGGATGAAGGAAGGACAACAGATGAGTTTAATGCTGGCAATATTAAAAATAAAGAATTGCATTCAAGATGGATGTGTTTGTTTCGGAAGTTATTTTTGTGGCAACTCGACGCTGTTGTTGGTCGGGGATGCGGAGTGTAGTGCTTTGCTTGACTGTCAATGAACTAACTGACTGGTTGATGGCCCTCAGGAAATTTATATAGATAACGATGATAGACCTGTTGGCTGTGTATGTTGTGATTCCGATGTCAGTATCCCGTCAGTGTTGCCATAATTGATTTCTCATTTGTGGTCGTCTGGAGTTGTTTCGAATCGGATTCTGGAGCTCTTAGTTCAAGGTTGGTCTTCACGTTGTAAAGTTCAAGAGTGTAGTCAATCCGTGGACTAACTGGGAATTCTCTTTCGAACTTGTAGGCCGAAAACTTCTGAAATCAATTTCGACAGGTATGTTTTTATGAATCTGTAAACCAGCTGGGAATAGAAACAGGGGGAGTTAGGATGTAGGATGCTCAACTGGTGTTTGTGAATGCGCCGACGATGACTGTACCTGTGGACATTCCGCGGCGTTGCGAGAGCTTGAGACAACCGTCTCAGCTTTCCATCTCTCCTGCCGCTTCTTTCCCATCCCGAGGCAGTTTCTTCCGTGCTCAGACCATTAAAAATGACCACTTACTCTTGCACTCCCCGAGTCATGATTTTGTGACCTCTGCAACAAAGCCACTCATACAATCGGATGCGGAAAAAGATGGATATGGTGATCCTCGTGACGAGAAGAAACGAGGAGCGGGTGATGACGGGGCGGCACTCTTACTGCAGACTCCATCTCTGCCGCATGAGGTCGTTCGCCAGTGCTGGATTGCGGGGCCTATGATTTGCGTGAACCTTTTGCAATACTCCATTACCGTCTTGTCTGTCATGTTTGTCGGTCATCTTGGAGAGCTGGAACTAGCAAGCGCTTCTATTGCTAATTCTGTCGCTGGCGTCATGGGCTATTATGTATTGGTAAATTCTTCCTCCATCGTCAATCATTGATCAATCTTTAAGATGTATTGTGCTGTATATTCCCTCAGATTCGTTGATTCATTGACCTGGGATTCTTTGAAATCTCACTTTGCTCACGTGAACATTACGAAATGTGTAAATCTGACGCTGTGCTTGTATACTCCGCTAGAGTTGAGTGTTTTAAGAAGAAAAATAAGAAAAATATAACTTCAAACTCCAAGAACCTCAGAGGTCCGCTTATGTTTTCTCTATGTGGGAGAGTACGGACATAGTGTAGGCAGTCTGTTCTTAACCTGCTGAAATGAATTCTGTTTCGATTTATTGCAGCTGGGAATGGGGAGTGCGCTAGAAACGCTGTGTGGACAAGCACACGGGGCAGCTCAGTATCATATGTTGGGAGTGTACCTCCAGAGAGCGTTTCTCGTGTTATTCACAACCTGCATTCCCCTTTCATTAGTGTTTTTATACATGGAAAACATTCTATGTGTAGTTGGTCAAGACCCTGAAATTGCGAAAAAGGCAGGGGAATATGCCTTGTACCTCCTCCCGAGCCTGTTTGGCTATGCTCTTATGCAGCCTGTGGTGAAATTCCTACAGACGCAGAGTATCATTCTTCCAATGGTGCTTTGCTCTGTCGCAACACTGACTCTACATGCCAGTATTCTTTACATATTTATTTATACTCTGGGATTGGGGTTCCGTGGGGCAGCTATTGCGACGAGTTTGTCGATCTGGGTCAATGCGATTCTACTTATCTTGTACGTGAAGCTCTCAGGGGCGTGCGAGAAAACATGGAAGACATTCTCTAGGGAAGCTTTCAATCACCTCCACGAGTTTCTTAGACTCGCTATTCCTTCATGTGTCATGATATGGTAAGGCATACAGTCCCAGATTTGGTATGCTCTTGAGATAAGTTGCTTAAGTGTTTATGGGCTTCTCTAATAATAAAGAAATGTGTTGTGCAGTTTGGAGTATTGGTGTTTCGAGATACTCGTGATGGCAGCCGGTCTTTTACCAAATCCCCAACTTGAGCTCTCTAGTCTTTCAGTCTGGTGTGCGTCCAGTAAACTTTTTTGTTAATTAACTTTTATTTGATTATTGTTTCAAATGTGCCACCTACCTTTGCGTTCTACTTTGAGAAGCATTGAACTAATTATTTTTCGTCGTCTTCAATTTTGTTGCAGTTTGAGCACAATTACATTAAATTATATGATACCTTTTGGACTTAGTGCTGCTGCAAGGTATGGCATTAGTCATGATATACAAAAATTCCTTCACAAGTGTATCTTCCTTCTTGCCTTTTTAAATATTTTCGTTATATATATATATATATATAGAGAGAGAGAGAGAGAGAGAGAGAGAGAGAGAGCATACTTCAAGTTAAGGGTGTCTTGCAATTTATTGATGTGGAATTGCAGCACTCGAGTGTCAAATGAGCTAGGAGCAAGGGATGCAGAAGCAGCTAAGCAAGCAGTGCGTGTGGTCATTGGCATGTCTGCATTTCAAGCAACAATTGTAGCCAGTTTCTTTTTGGCATTGCGTTTCAATTGGGGTTGGTTGTTCAGCAATGAGTTTGAAGTGGTACATTATGTGGGGACCATAATGCCTCTACTTGCATGTGTAATCTTGTTCGATGGTATTCAAGGTGTTCTATCAGGTAAAAATACAAGTTTGTTTAGTATGCCAATATATTGTTTGGAAATGATGTTAATGTAAAATTAGTAAACGGACAACAAATTAACAATGGCATATGAGTGGATATGACAACAGGTGTTGTGAGAGGTTGCGGCATTCAGGGGTTGGGAGCCATGATCAACTTGTGGACTTTTTATGGCGTTGGAGTTCCAACTGGTTTAATTCTTGCTTTTTATTTCAAGTTCGCTGGCAGAGTAAGTTCAGTTGTTTGTCTGTGTTTATCATGTTCTTGTTAAATTCACAAGATTTGTAATCTTCAAGTTGAAAATATACATAAAGTTGATTAACTGTGGGGCATTTTGTTTAAAGTTTTTGTACAATGTTTAATTACTGATTATAAGCTTGATAATTTACAGGGTCTTATCATAGGATTGCTCTGTGGATTGGGAACACAGATGCTTACTCTCTTCATTGTTATATTCCAAATTGATTGGAACAAGCAGGTTTGTTGTAGACTTACATGTGAATTAAATAAAACCCTGGTAGTATCATAAATTTAAAAGTTTAGTGTATAGTTGTGAATTGTTCTGAAGATGTTCTGAACTTTGTTTGGATTGCGTGTTTTGGAGAAATTTGGTTTAATTTGCAGTACGACAAAATATTGTTTTTACAGATGAGTAATTAAGAGTATTGCTATGTATGCAGATTGAGGTTGCATCTGGACGCCTGAAATATGCCAAGTTAGATACCAATGAAAAAGCTATAAATGACATCATGTAAGCTTACGTATGTTTCAAATTTTGTTCGACAGAAATATTAGTGTGTAACTTATTATGTGTAAAACACATGAATTCCAATCAGTTTTACTACTAAGTAGACCATCTTCGTGAGAACTGAACTTATTTTCTAAATATTCCTTGGGAAAAGTCTCATTATTCCTCCTTTCTATGGTAATCAACTATCTATAGTCAGTATTCTTTTAATTCTCAACAATTGTACCTTAAATTATTTTTGTTACTTTTGCATATGAAATACATATCCAATTCAATGTCATTTTCTCTCATACAGCAGCATGTATCGAGAAAGACTTGAGAAAAGAAAGTTTGTATTTTATTTTGGAATAACATTTCAGTCACTGAAAACACACCATATGAATAAGTCGAACAGTTCAATTCACGGTTAGATATGTGAAACAGTAAACAAAATTCTTGTTGAAATATCAATGTCCAATGCACGCAAATGTTTATTCCAAATTTTCAGCTCTAATGCCAGGTCCAATTTTCATATTATGCCAAAATCTCTCAAAACTCAATTGTCGTTCATTTCAATCTAAAAATCTTTCTGTACTGTACATATCAACCGCCGCAAACACTAGCTAGTTCGCAAAAAAAAAAAAACATCCTACAAAACCTTGCACATCCTTCTAAAGAATGTAGCAAGGCAGAAGGCAATCCTACTATTCACCAAAAATCCCCACAAGAACATACTCCATCGGCAAAATGATGAAACCGCTGCGCATCCCTGGCAATGATCTCTCTACCAACCACCTTCGAGATAAACTTCGTCGCCGTATGACAATCCCCACACACTCGCAGATTCTTCACAATACGGATAGGCATTCCGGGTGGTGTCTTCATCAGCCCGTAAGTGATCGCCAGCCTCTCACTGTGAGAGAAAAGTATCCGCTCCTTCTGTTCCTCATCCACGTCGTGCAGAACAAATCTGGTGTCCGGTACATAACCCATCTCCTTGATCTGTTCAGTTAGCTTCCCGAGCTCGACGTAAATCTGCTCAGATTCCGGGTGGGACTTATCCTCCACATGAAACACATGCACCTTGCCGTCTACTTCAATCCAGCTCTGCCCCGGCTCCTTGACAACATCCCTTTTCTCCATCACTTGCCGCACTTTCTCAGCGTCTTCATATCGGCCAGCAGCAGCGTAGATACTCGACAATGCGACGTAAGCTCCATCATCATCAGGGTCCAGCTTGAGGACATTCTCTGCAGCACGCTCGCCACGTTCAACGTCACTGTGGACCCTGCAAGCGCTGAGCAATGCCCCCCAAACTGAGGGACCCGGTATGAATGGCATGCTGAGGATAACGTTCTCTGCTTCCTCCAAATGGCCTGCTCGGCCCAGAAGGTCTACGAAGCAGCTGTAGTGCTCAACCATGGGTTTGATGCCATAGTCTAGGTACATGGAGCGGAAGTGCTTGCGACCTTCCTCCACTAGACCTACGTGGGTGCATGCTGAGAGGACGCTTGTGAAGGTTACCTTGTCGGGTTTTATTCCTTGCTTTTTCATCTGATCAAAGTATTCAAGGGCCTCTCTGCATCGTCCGTGCTGAGCACAACCTGGAAAAGCTCAACACATGAGAACAACGTGCATGGATTTCACTAAATGCTTGCACGGATGTGTGCCTGATAATATTCCTCGTAAGTTAATAACTTTGCACAGGTTTCTAACACAGCACTAACTTGAGCTCTTAGGTAGGGATTCAATATTGCAAAATGGGTTTCAAATTTTCCGATAAGAGAGGAAAATAAAAAGAAGGGTGAACACAGGACCTTGCAATCCAACAAAGGAGACGACCAAATGTACTGTGCGAGATTTCTGATCGAGAAAGAAGAAAAAGTAGAAAAAAATGGTGGTCTTTGGATAAACAACCTGTTATTATAGCAGTCCAGGCAACAACGTTCCGCTCACTCATCTGATTGAACACCAGACTTGCGTCATCCATGCTTCCACATTTTGCATACATACTAACAAGGGCACTTTGTAGATAGACATCCAGATTGTATCCAGCATGAACCAGCTGTTGATGGATCCTTTTCCCTTCTTGAAGAAATGCAGGGCTTGAACAACTTGTCAAAACGCTTGTAAAAGTCATCTTATCCGGTTTGATGCCTTGCTGCTGCATCCGCCGAAAGAGATTAATTGCCTCGTCATGGAATCCTAGTTGAGCGTAGCCTGTGACCATGGCTGTCCAAGTGACCACATCCCGATGTGGCAAGTCACTAAACAGTTTACGGGCTTCTTCCAGTCCTCCACACTTGCAATACATGGTAATCAGCGAATTGACCACCCAAAGTTCTCTACCATATCCCGATTGAATGATATATCTGTGGACCTTCTTGCCATGCTCTAGAGCCGCTGGAGTTGTGCAACCTTGAAGAATGCTAGCAAACGTGATTTTGTTGGGAGCTACTTCTGCTTGCTGCATCGTCTCCAAAAGCTCCAGAGCAACGTCGACTTGACCTTGCTGTGCGTAACCAGCGATTAAGAGAGTCCACGTGACCACGTTCTTTTCTGGTAATCTGTCAAAAATAACTCGTGCCTTGGAAATATCTCCACACTTGGCATACATCCCAACAAGAGAGGTACCAACTCGAGGTTCTAACTCCAGTCCAGCTTCAACAATTTCCATGTGCACCTTCTGACCTAGTTGTAACAGCTCCGGGTTTGTAAACGCGTTGAGAAGGCTCACAAACGTGACCTTGTCGGGCTTGCATCCCGCCAGCTTCATCGTTTCATAGCACTTGAAGGCCTCTAGATTTTTATTTCCAGCAACAAATGCTTCAATCATCGCAGTCCAGGACACGATATTGCGATCTCGAATGCTATCGAATACCCGTCTAGCATCCGTCAGACTCCCACACTTAGCATACATGCTCAATAACGTGTTTTCAAGGTATCTATTAGGTTGAATCCCACTCTTCAAAATTGCAGCATGGACTTCTCTACCTTGTTCCAATGATCTCAATCTGGCACACTCTTGCAGAAGACCTCGAAATACGTCTGAGTAGACACGAGTTCCTTGTAGAATCATCGTATTCATAATCCCCAGTGCCTCCTTCAAACGCCCTGTCTTACACAGAACACTCACATCTCGAGAATTCGCTAGGGTCTCGACCTTGCGAAAGCCTGCATTCCCTGGCATCTGATCGTGAGACACTACGGGCGTAGTCAAACTGGAAGCAAGAGTATCGGCATTGCTCTGATAGCGATTGAACATTATCATGCTCCTCCCACATAGCAACTGCGTCACCCTGCAATACAGATTCCAATTCAGTTTCCGAAAGAACATTAAAGATAATAATAATAATAATAATAATAATAATAATTCAATTGAAGTACATCAACAAGCCAAGTCAAAGAATTCAACAAGACTCATGGAGGCAGTAATATTCAACACGAACCGGGAATTCCATAGTCGCGTGGGGAGGAAACAGAAGCTCATAGCTCCTCTTCACTGCCTGCTGCGGGTCACAGGCGTGGAACATGTCGTTCACACCAGGCTCACACACTCCGATTCTTTCAGGGAGCCCGATCCAAACTTGCCAAGTCCAAGCACGAGCTGTGCACGCGAGTCCAGCACAATGAGTCCAGTCGGTAAACCGCCCTACTCCACGCAACCTCTTCCAACCCAAGCCACCGCGATCTAGTATCTAAACCTTGGATCTGAGAGAAGGTGGAATAGGCATCGCCACAGTTCGATGTTCACAACTCTTTGTTTACAACCAAGCCCTCCGAAACCCTAATTTCTTGGCCATGTGAAAAAATCGCCTCGTCCGTATCGGCCTCCGATATTCTACCATTCCTCGTTCATTCATTCTTCGTTCCTCCATTGAGATCTTCGTCACAATTGTCTTCACATTTTCATTACTCTTTAAGTGTCTCTTTAATCAAGAAATCCAAAAGCAATTTTCATGTCTTGAGTCAATTCAATTTCTTTGATTTTCCCGTCTATCTAAATAAGAACACTGATTTTATTATTGAGGGAGAGAAGCAGCATAGAACATGAATAAGTTTTTTTGCACATCCAAATAAAAATTAGATATTAGAGTTGCTTACAAACTTAAAAGTAGGGCTGTTTCTAACATAAGAAAATAATAAGGACAAGGATAAATTATATATATTTTTCAATTACACAATTTTTTCTTGTACTGATCTAAATTGCAAGATGATAACACAATATCTCGTATTTTGTGTGAGCTTAATTAATTTGTATTTTCATTTCATTCAAATAAATATATAGTTCAAAAAGGAAAGACAAAATAAAGAACGTGTGATGCAGGGTCTTCTGATAACAAAAAAATTATTGTAAACTTTTTATTTAGATAAAAAATTTATAGAGAATATTTCAGAAAAAAAATACTATGCATAGAATATATTTATACACACATGCAAATCAAAAATAAAAATAAAAATTAATTTGTAGATGAATTAATCAAGATTAAATAATAATAATATTATTATTATTATTATTCTTATTTCTCACGTCATGGCTGCATAGATATTAAAGGGGTAAAAAAAATACAAAAATACAAAAAAAAAAAAAAAAAAAAAAAAAAATCAATGAAAAGCAGAAATAAACATAAACAAGTTATGAGAATTGATAATTGAAATAAGAAACTGAAAATGGGTTTTACCTACAAAATTGTTAAACATACGAATTATGGTGTTAATAATGAGCTTTGAAAAGTCAACTTTTTTACAATTATATATATATATATATATATATATATATATATATATACACACATATTTGAGCAAGATGCATTTTTTTCATGACACAAAGTCTGTTTGATTTTTTAAAAAATGATGCAAGTGTTACTTACCTTTTTATCTACAATTCATATGCAAATTTACTCTTCATCAAATAATAATAATTCAATACGTAAACTTGTTGAAATCAATTTACAAAATCAATTCACGTCAATTATCATTATAAGCTGTCCACCCCATTGATTACAATTTGCCTCTTATTTGACTGTTTGTCAATCAATACAACATCTCTAAAACTCACAAACAACATTCTAAACCTTGAAGGATGTCAAAACTATTTTTTGGGACACAATTACAGTTGAATCATATCATATGGTTTGTACAACAAGGTAGGACTTGTCAAGCATATAACAATATAACAGCCTCTCCATTATTCTCGTGCATTCATGTTTTGCAATGTGAATAAATTTCTATTTTATAACATGGTATCAAAGTCGTGGATGAACAAGTGCCACAAATAAAAATTATTGGATAAAAAATTTAGATGAATTTTTTTGGATAATTTTTTTTATAATGAACTATTATTGACTTCTTGCTTCTAAAGCCTCTTAGTTGCACTACCATTGGGCCTTACCATGTTGCTAAATCAAGCTACTAATGTTGATTTTGACTTCTATTGGAATTAATCTCTTATTGTTGCTTATTTTGAAGGAGTGTTGTTTTGATCTATTATAGCTTGGTATCACTACTTTATTTTTTTTTCATTTTATATAACATTTTTTATTGTGGTACAATCTTATTGCTTCTTGCTATTGTCACGGACACAGAAATATAGACTCGAGATCTAACAAGAAGTTCAAGAAGAACTGACAAGAACTAGATTAATCAGATGAATACAAGAACAACACTAGAGAGGTGAGCTAGAGCTCCAAGAGATGTGTTGTCGAGACTGAAGAACTCTTCAACTTCGATTCCAATATATACTTCTATTAAAGAAGCTTTTCAAGCAACTTCTACCAACTAGGAAGCTTCTAGAAGGTTCCAAAGACTTGCTTCTAGAAGGTTCTAGAAACTTATCTCTAGAAGGTTCTAAGACTATGTCCCTAACATCTTCTACCAACTAAGAAGTTTCTAAAAGGTTCCAGAGACTTGCTTCTAGAAGGTTCTAGAAACTTATCTTTGGAAGGTTCTAAGGACTATGTCCCTAATATCACCCCCTCCTTTAGCTTCGAGGTCTCTGAGAAGCAATGTTGTTGTTAATCAGTACCAACGCAAGAAAATGAAGATCTGTCGCATAACGTCTGCTATGAACTCCAATTCTTGTTCACGAGGCAAGTGGTTCATCGAACCTTGAAGCCAACGGTAGTGGCCCACTCCTTCAACTTCTGACCAAGCATGAACTTCCGTGTCCTCATTGTGAAATTGTCCTGCAAACACGCCTTCTGGCTGACCATCGTAAGCAGGCTTGGACTCAAATACAATCACCAATGATCGGTTTTTCGATATCCTCTATCGTCGTCATAGTGTAGGTATTTCTTCATCTCGGGGTCGCCTTTGTGAGCTAGTCAGTTGAGATAATCTGACTGGCATAGTATCTATCTCTTGGCTATCCATATCAGAAGACCAAACTATGGCTACTCAAAAATTCTATTTTATCTTGGAGAAAATAACTACATCAACTACGAATTTTGGTGGTGCTCTCCCCTTTCTTATATTCTTGGGTGAGCAAGCTTCAAAAGGAAGCTATCGTCGAACCGGCTTAGGTTTATGAGGATGTTGTTGATAAAACTCCTGTACCTTTTGCGATGCATTAATGAGATTTTCAGCTGGCTCCCACATTCGTTCATTAATGTCGTAGCCGCACCAATGAACAAGATACTCCAACTTGTCCCACCTTCGCCGTGAATCCAGCACCTTTTCAACCTCGTATTCCTCGTGGTTCTCGATCTCAATATTAGGTGGCGGACATTGCACTCTTCTAGGAAAAGATGACTCTCGATAAGGCTCCAACAGAGAAACATGAAAGACTGGATGTACCTTCATAGAAGCCGGTAATTCTAGATGGTACGCCACTCGATTGATTTGCTTCTGGATGAAAAATGGTTCCAATCTTTGATAGTCCAACTTATCACATGGTCGCTTGGTCTTCATATTCCGTCGAAGAAGCCATGCTTTATCTCCAATTTTGAAAGTAGGTGCTTGATTCTGAAATCTATCTGCAGACACCTTGTAGGATTCTTGAGCGGATTGTAATTGAAGCTTCAATGTATTTTGAAGCTTTGATAGTTGTTTCGCAAATCCTTCAGTTGCTGGATTGTTATTTGTTGATGGACTCAATAAATTAAGCTTTGGATGATACCCATGGTTGGAAAAGACTGGTGTGTATTGAGTCGACGCATGGAGGGTGTTGTTATATGCAAACTCGGCTAGCGATAGATATGTGGTCCAATCGTCTTGTTGATAGTTGATGCGGCATCGTAAGTATTGTTCCAAGACTTGGTTCTCCCGTTCTGTTTGGCCATCAGTTTGAGGATGAAAAGCCGAATAAAGCTTGATATCCACCTTCAGTATCTCAAAAAGAGATCTCCAAAACTTTGATACGAACTGGGTTCCTCGATCTGATACGATATCATTTGGTAGTCCATGATATCGATACACATTATCGAGAAAGAGCCTTGTTGTGACTTCACTGGATGATGTCTTCTTGCAAGGGACAAAGTGTACCATCTTTGTAAGCCGATCTACCACGACAAAAATGCTGTCAAATGAGTTCGATGATGGCAGGTCCGTGATGAAGTCTATGGAAATTGAAGACCATGGTCGACGTGGAATCGGCAATGGCTGGAGGAATCCATAAGGGCGATGCCGAGGATTCTTGGATCTTGAACAGATGTTGTAGGAGAAGACAAAATCTTTCACATCCTTCCACATTTGGAGCCACCAAAAATCTCGAGAAATAAGCTCCAAGGTCTTGTTGAATCCAAAATATCCCACAATTGGAAAATCGTGGCGAGATTGAAGAACTCGGAGTCGTGCTGGTCCTTTTGGGATTTATAATCACTCCTCAAAATATAAAAGATCTTCCTCCACCTTGAACTTGTCGTCATTGGCACGCTGCTTGATATCAATGGCTACTGAATCTTCAATGGTCATGGCATGTACCTGATTCAGGAAGTCAGCATCAATTGGCATAATAGTAGCGCAAAGCTGTAATTGCTCTGGCTTTAACAATGTCGTACATTGTTGATCAAACGCTGCTTCTCCAGCCTTTGGTACAAGATACGATCTCCTTGATAAGGCATCAAATAGTCCTTGCTGCTTTCCAGGTCGATAAGTGATAACAAAATCAAACCTAGATAACAACATACTCCTCCGAGCTTGACGTTGATTTAGAACTCGAGCCGACATGAAATACTCCAAATTCTTGTGATCTATGTATACGATCACTGGATGTGTAGCTCCTTCAAGAAAATGATGCCATTCTTGGAAAGAATCCACTATAGCAAGAAATTCCTTATCTTGGATCTCATAATTGATTTCAGCAGCAGAGAACTTTCGAGAATAGAATGCAACTGGATGGAGCTTCTTGCCTTCTCCCATTTGTGAAAGTACAGCTCCCAAAGCAAAATCCAAAGCATTAGTTTCTAAATAAAAGGCCTTTGTAAAGTCTAAATGTACCTAGATTGGAGCCGTAGTAAATGCAATCTTCAAGTCTTGAAATGCCTTCTTTGCTAGAGGTCCCCATTCCAGCTTATCCTTGCATGTCAACCGAGTGAGAGGAGCAGCAACTTGAGAGTAATTCTTGATGAAGATCCGATAGAAGTTGGCAAAACCAAGAAAGCATTGTACATCTCTAACCGTCTTCGGAACCTCTCAGGACACGATTGCTTCCACCTTCTTTGGGTCCATCTTCAAGCCTTCCGTAGTCGCAACGAATCCCAAAAACTCCATCTCTATTTGGTGAAATAAACACTTCTCTAACTTGGCATATAGTCCTCACTCACGTAGTTTCTCTAAGATCAAACGAACGTGCTTTTCATGCTCTTC